ATTAAAAAGAGTCAACAAAAGGACAACAACATGACAATAATAAGTCAGTACATATCAGTTATAACCATCAATGTCAATGACCTCAATTCACCAATCAAGAGAAACAGATTGGCAGAATGGATTAAGAAGCAAAACCCAACAATATGTTGTATATAAGAAACACACCTAGTGCAAAAAGAAGCCCATAGACTGAAAGTGAAAGGATGGCAAACAATCCTCCACGTGACAGGAGCCCAGAAAAAAGTAGGGGTAGCAATCTTATTTGCAGACAAAATAAATTTCAAACCAAAACTGATTAAGAGAGACAAAGAAGGCCACTACATCCTTGTAAAGGGAACAATCCAAAAGGAAGAAATGACAATCATAAACATATATGCACCAAATATAAATGCCCCCAATTATATAAAACAAATATTAAGTAACATGAAAAATCAAATAAGCACTAATACAAGTGTAGTGGGGGGATCTAAATACCTCACTATCACAAATAGACAGATCATCTAGACAAAAAAAAATCAACAATAAAATACTAGAACTGAACCAAGCTTTTGAACGCATGGACTTATTAGATGTCTATAGAGTGTTCCACCCCACAAAATCAGAATATACATTCTTTTCAGCTGCACATGCATTATTCTCCAAGATAGATCACATAGTAGTTCACAAAACAGGTGTGAATAAATGCAAAAGAATTGAAGTTATTCCCTGTATACTATCAGATCACACTGCAATAAAGCTGGAGATCAATAGCATAAGAAACCGTAAGAACTTCACAAACACATGGAAATTGAACAACACTCTCCTGAACAATCAATGGATCACAGAGGAAATTAAAGAAGAAATCAGACAGTTTTTACAAATAAACAAAAATGCCAATACAACATACAGGAATCTATGGGACAAAATGAAAGCAGTTCTACATGGAAAATTCATAGCACTGAATGCCCACATTAAGAAAACAGAGCAAGCTCAAATAAACAACCTAATGATAAATCATAGACTCCTAGAAAAACAAGAGCAAGAAAAACCCAAAGCTCGAACAAGAGAGGAAATTATAAAGATTACAGCAGAAATCAATGCAATGGAAACTAACAAAACAATACAAAAAATAAATGAATCAAAGAGTTTTTTTTAAAGAATAAATAAAATTGATAAACCCTTAGCAAACCTTATCAAAAAAAGGAAAGAAAAGGCTCAGATTCATGCAATCAGGAATGAAAAAGGCGAAGTCACAACAGATCCGAAAGAAATCCAGAGGATCATTAATACCTACTATGAGAAATTGTACTCTAATAAAATGGAAAACACAGAAGAAGTGGACAGATTTTTAGATACTTATGAATTACCAAAGTTGAACAAAGAAGATAAAAACATTTTAAACACCCCAATCACAATCAGTGAAACTGAAAATGAAATTAAAAACTTACCAACAAAGAAAAGCCCAGGTCCTAATAGATTCACTGCTGAATTTTACAAGACATTTAGAGAAGAACTACTGCCATTACTCTTCAAACTTTTCAATGAAATTGAAAGGGAAGCTATACTTCCAAATTCATTCCTGGAAGCAAGTATCACTTTGATTCCCAAACCAGGTAAAGACAGAACTGAAAAAGAGAACTACAGGCCAATCTCCTTAATGAACATAGATGCAAAAATCCTCAATAAGATACTAGCAAACAGAATACAGAGGATCATCAAGAAGATCATACATCCTGACCAAGTCGAATTTATTCCAGGGATGCAAGGATGATTCAACATACGTAAATCAATAAATGTAATACACTATATTAACAAAGTCAAGGACAAGAACCACATGATCCTCTCAATAGATGCACAAAAAGCATTTGACAAAATTCAACACCCATTCATGATAAAAAATCTACAAAAAATTGGGATAGATGGTCTATATCTCAACTTTATAAAGGCTATCTGAAAAACCAACAGCCAACATCATATTAAATGGCCAAAAACTGAAAACCTTCACATTAAAATCAGGAACAAGACAAGGATGCCCACTATCACCACTCCTCTTCAATATAGTTCTGGAAACATTTGCCATAGCAATTAGACAAGAGAAAGAAATTAAAGCAATAAAGATAAGAAAGGAAGAAGTTAAACTGTCATTATTTGCTGATGATACGATACTCTACATTGAAGACCCAAAAAGCTCCACCAAAAGACTTCTTAACTTAACAGACACTTTTAGCAGAGTAGCTGGATACAAGGTCAACACCCAAAAATCAACAGCCTTCTTCTACACAAATAACAGACTCACTGAAGGAGAAATTAGGGAAACAATTCCTTTCACAATAGCACCCAAAAAAATGAAGTATCTGGGAATCGATCTAGCAAAAGAAGCAAAAGACCTCTACACTGAAAATCACGCACTCTGAAAAAAGAGATCAAAGAGGATATAAGAAAATGGAAAGATATCCTGTGCTCCTGGGTAGGGAGAATCAACACAGTGAAAATGGCCATACTACCAAAACTGCTATACAGATTCAATGCAATACCAATTGAAATTCCAACACTATACTTCACAGAACAAGAAAGAAGAATCCAAAAATTCATTTGGAACCATAGGAGACCTAGAATAGCAAAAGCCATACTAGGCAACAGACACATGGAGTGGGTATAACAATTCCCAATCTGAAACTATACTACAAAGCCACTGTGATAAAAACAGCATGGTACTGGCAAAGAAACAGACCTGAGGATCAGTGGAAAAGACTGGAAGATACAGAAACAACTCCAGATGTACTAAGCTACCTCATCTTTGACAAAGGAGCTGACCATCCTCAGTGGAGGAAAGATAGCCTCTTTAATAAATGGTGTTGGAAAAACTGGATCTCAACCTGCCAAAGATTAAAATTAGACCCTTATCTTTCATCATGCACTAAATTAAAATCAAAGTGTCTTAAAGATCTAAATATTAAAACAGAAACACTAAACTTGATGGAAGATAAATTAGGCAGAACTCTTGAAGACATTGGCATAGGAAAAGACTTTATGAACAAATCCTCAGTAGCACGGGAACTAGAAGAAAGAATCAGCAACTGGGATCTCATCTTATTAAAAAGCTTCTGCACTGTAAAAGAAACCATCAACAGAACTAAGAAACAACCTACAAAGTGGGAAAAAAATTTTACCAGCTGTTCCTCAGACAAAGGACTATTATCTAAAATATATAAAGAACTCAAAACAAGCAGCCTCCCCAAATATAAAGACCCAATTCAAAAATGGGCATCTGAAATGAAAAGACATTTCTCAGACAAAGAAGTAAAAGCAGCAAGTAAATATATGAAAAAATGCTCCACATCACTGGTCATTGGAGAGATGCAGATGAAAACAACACTGAGATTCCACCTCACCCCACAAAGAATGGCTGCTATCAAGAAATCACACAATAACAAATGTTGGTGGAGTTGTGGGGAGAAAGGAACCCTTCTCCATTGTTGGTGGGAGTGCAGACTAGTGCAACCACTATGGAAATCAATATGGAGATACCTCAAAAAGCTAGGTCTAGAGGTTCCATTTGACCCAGCCATCCCTCTGCTGGGTATCTTTCCAAAAGATTTAAAAGAATCATATCACAGTGATATATGTGCACCAATGTTTATAGCAGCACAGTTTGTAATAGCTAAAACTTGGAAACAGCCCATCTGCCCATCTGTTGGAAACTGGATAAAGAAGATGTGGTTTTTCTATAAAATAGAATACTACTCAGCCATAAAAAATTAGAAATTAGAGTAATTCATAGGAAAATGGACACATATTGAGGATATACTCCTAAGTGAAATAAGTAAGTCACACATGTGTAAATACCGAATAGTTTCCCTGGTGTGATAATAGTACGAAAGATCCTAATGGGATAATTAAGAGTGTGAAATAGGAAGAAAAGGGCTAAAGGTGTAGGGAAAGGGGGAAGGGTAGGGGCAAGAAAATAAGGGAAAAGAAAAAATGGAAAATGAGAAAATGGAAATAAAGAGTTTGTTAATGGGGAGGGGAGGAGAGAAGGGGCGTGAAGGGAGGGCAGGGAAGGGGGAAAGACATGAGAACCAAGACCTGTCATGTGAAGGTACAGGATCCCAGTAATGAATGTAACTGTATTGTAGACCTAGATTGTACCAATAAATTAAAAAATAAATAATAAATAAGTTTCAGGATTCCTAGAACTTTGGGGAAAACCAAGGTTCAAACAGATTGTACTCTGGTGGTTCAGAGTTCCTTGGAGATTCTGATGGAAATTAGAGAACCTCCCCTTCACCCAGATACAGCCACACAGAACTTCACAACTGCTTTTCAAGATTCACAAAACTCCCTGAAGCTCACGGAGGGTAGCTCAGAAAAAGGACACCATGTTAGGCTGGAGTTCCCAACCTAGAGCTAACTCCCTCATTCAGAGTTTGGTGACCAGCCAGGCTCCTGTTGAACCCAGCTCTTGTGGCCCACACTCTCCCAGCCCCCTCCTTCCTCCCCACTGCAATAGTACCTGCACCTGCGGTAGCCACACACCTGGGTGTCTTCCCTCACTTGCTACTGCTGCTAATTTCCTTCCGTTTCTAAAATCCTGTTACCTTTATATGGTTCAATAAAAATAAATGTGGAAGCTGCATGCAGTTTCCGTAGAAGACATACAGGATCCTTCCCACTGCCTTCCACCTTAACTCTCTAACGTTACACCCTTTCCGTGCACAAGCACATTTCTGGGTGTCCGTGTATTGGCTCATTTCTCACATTTCCAAGCTGCGGCTCTAACATGCAGTGATGACACTCAGCAAATCCAAGCCCCCAAGCTGATTGCAGATGGCTTCCACTTAATGAAAACATAGCCGACTGTTTTAAAATAAAACTTCATTCAAGCAGCGCTTCTTTACATTTTGCCACTGTACAACACTTCTATTTTGTCATCGTTTGTGCCTTTTAGATTTGGAATTTTTAAGCTCTGTGATCTCAGGGCTTTACAGTAAACCTGAAACCTCAGCTCCTGGGCCACTTGCCTGTGAAGCCTGGTGCGCAGACGCACGTGCCGTTCAGGCTTTCGCTGTCGCAGGCGCCTCCGTTCAGGCAGCTGACGTTGGCACAGGGATCCTTGTACAGTTCACAGTGGATTCCTGCAGGGAAACAGAGGAAAGAGGGTGACTCATCAGAGAATCTCCAGCTCTGTGTCCCTTCAAAGTGAAACACATGAACATCATGGGACAGTATGCAGCAGATTGCTGGCCTGTGTGTGTGTGTGTGTGTGTGTGTGTGTGTGTGTGTATGTGTGTATGCACGCATGCACATGCGTGCAAATGCATACCTGTGCACTCTTGACTTTAGGCAGTTGTGATATCATACCTATGAGAAAACAGCGAATTCAATCCCTGCCCCTAGGCCCTACAATAGTCTTTGTGTGCATTTTCTCTGACTACATGTCCCAAAGCCTAGGACACAGGGCACAGAAAGCTAAAAACCTGAAAGATAAAATTTGTCAATGGCAAATGTTTTCTAAGCCTCCAAAAGAAGCAGAAAATAGCTAGACAGCCTTAATAAAATGCCAAGTGTAATTGATAATAGCACCACGAAGGTGAAGGGTTGGAGTCAGCTATTTCGGCGAGTTCCGCCTGCCTCTGCTCAAGGAACTGCAGGAGAGAGACCACTGCATGCTCACTCTTCACCCTCAAAGACCTCATCAGCTCATCACACAAAACAGCTTGCGCTACACAATGGGCCATGTGCAGGCCTTGCCCTGGGCTGTAGTTCTATACAGCACAAAGAGACAAATGGCCTTGGTTCCCCATTTCACAGATGAGGAAACAGGAAAGAATCTAAGGTTGCAAGGTCAGCAAGGGGGAAAGCTTGGGTTTGAACTTTCTGGTAATCCAATCCAGAATCTCTGCTTGCTAAATCATTTGCCTCATATCAGCGACGGAAATATCCAGAATTCTGTGGAGCTCAACAACCATTTAACAAAGAAGGAGCATTTAAAAACTCTGTAAAGACAGAAAGCTTCCTATGTAAAAATGAACACTGTGTGTGTGTGTGTGTGTGTGTGTGTGTGTGTGTGTGTGTTTATTTCTATTTTTTTGGCAATGCTAGGAACTGAACCCAGGGCCTCATGCATGCTAGGCATGTACTCTACTATTGAGCTATATCCCAGTCATTTCAGTTTGAGACAGGGTCTTGCTAAGTTGTCCAGGTTGGCCTCAAAGCCAATGTTTTCTGAGAGTTTGAATATCAGCTGGTAGCACATCATAGAGTACAAGATAGAGAAGCCTGACTCTCTCTCTATCTCTCCTCTCACTCCTTCTTCCTTTCTCTCTCATACTACACCCCTTAAAGAGGAAGACACACTACATTCTATCTGGATAAGAATGTACATAATGATAAGGCCATCTCTCCAAACAGCCTCAAGAAAAATAAATACAAAACAAATAATAACTAATAACTGAATGGTATTTATTTAATTTGCTCTCCATTACTTGGCTCCTTTTGGGCAAACAACTGCCTCACCCAGTGACTCACACAGGCACCAAACATATCCTTGCTGGGCTTTTCTTCTCTTTCTGTCAACACCTTAAGTAGGGTTAAAAAGAAGGAAAAGAAGGAAAGAAGAAAAGAGAAATAGAATTCCCCATCTATACTCACACTATCACTTGAGTCAAGCATTTTAGTAAGGAAGGCCTTTAACTCCTTTTTATCTTGTGTCTGTCATACTCAACCCATCAACAATTTTCTGCCACACATTTTTCTAAAGTACCTTTCAGATCTTTCCTTTCTTCCTAGCCTGCTGGGATCTGGCTTCACACTACCACATCCATGCTCCTCCTCTGTTTGTCTCCAGGACTGGAAAGAGCCTTCCTGATACAGTAATACCAAAGATCAAACTCAAGGCGAGCTCAAATCTGGCATTTCCTTTTGCCAGTGTGTATGACCTCTTCTCCCCAAAGCTTTTGCTTCTATTTTCCCACTGATTCCCAAGTAGCATGTGCTTAGTGAAGACAATTAAATGTAGAAAAGCAAGATCCATTTCAAAATATTTAACCAAAAACAAAGAATCACATCTTTACAAGTTCTCATGGGGTTGATCAATGGGAACCGGGGTACAAAAAAGATTTTTTTTTTTACTGTAATGAGAAATATAGCCACCATCAAAGTTCAGCGATGCTTGAAACCTTTAAAAAATCCATCAGCCTAAGGAAGGAGCAGTCAGATAATCTTCACTGAGCTTCTAGTAATGCATTAGCCAATCCAGCCAGTATAATATAACAGATTACCATATTCATATTTTTCAAGTGAGGCTGGGAAGCAAATTCTAGGCCAAATATTGAAGCATCTTAACTTTAAAGTCTTCAATCAAATAGACTAGATGAAAACACTCATGCAATTTCAAACTTTTCTTCAGGTTTCCTTTTTGGCAATACTTTTACCCCACTATTTCTCTTTTTACAAAAATAAAGTATTAGCCATTTGAGCATCCATTGAGAGTTTCCTGGCACAAAGACTGAGCCCAAGTATATCTTCACAGAAACACGGCTAGGAGAATTGAGCTGGGTCTCACAAGTCCCCAGGGAGCCCTTGGGTTACGCCCACTTCTATATTCTAAGTTTTGGAGACGATGTCATATCGTGCTGTTGGTCATTGGAGCTGAACAACCATGAGCTAGAAACTTTAAATCCAAGGGCAGCCAGTCCTGGGCATTACTGCTGTGTCCAGCACACCTCCTCTCACTCAAGCCCTCCTCTTAGGCTCCAGGCCTCCATTCCTCCGCTCCTCATCATTCCCAGGGGATCCCAGGCACTTGCCTACTCATCTGGGGCGTCCCACTTCCCCTGCCTGTGAGCTTTCTTCCCTCACAGCCTTCTCCGACCGGAACTCCCCTTGGCACCTCTGAACTCATCTTTCCAGTACCACTGCACATGCATCTCCCTCGTAAGCTGAATCTTTCCCCAAACAGATCAGGCTCTGCCACTGTGCGCTGTGAGCGGGTTGACATCCCGCTGCTACAGAGTTTACCATGCCAGATCACAACCTGTCTGTCCTCCTGTCTGCCTCTGCCACAAATCTCAGAAACCCAAAGGGCAGAGGCCGCAACTCAGTGCATGGGAGGAATAACGGCTGTGACACCGGGATCCCGTCCTTTCCACTGGGATGACAGGTGCCGGTGTATTTTGGCTGACACACAAGTGAGATGGCCAGAGGAGAGAGAAGTCGTTCCAGTTCTAATTGTGCCTCAGACACCCTGTTTCGTCAGGGAAAAAAGCAGGTCCACACTTCAAGCTCAATATGTGGAATGACGCAGGAATCATCCGCTGGTGAATGACGTAGCACGTAAGATTATGTAGCACGCACAATTACGTAGCACGCACGATTACGTAGCATGCATGATTACCAAACCTATGTTTAGTGTACACCTCATCTTAGCCAAAGGGCAGAGAAGCGATCCTATGTTTGGTCTCAAGCAAAAAATAAACTAATTCAGTCAAAACTAGTAAAAATCCATACTTCTCATATTAAGGAACGGAAAGCAATGTTTCTGAAAAGATGTCTCCCAACAGGGCTCTCTACAGAAGTTGATTTTAGAATTAAAATGAGCAAAATTCAAAGAAGAGTAAAGTAACTATAAATCTTTGTTGTTCTCACAAATTTAGTCACAATTAATATTCAAAAACTGAACATCATTGTTTTATCTCCAGGAAAAATAAGTTAGGTAAAGGAAATATACAGGGACTGTACTTTGTACCTAAAATTTGCTTTGTGATAGCATCTTATTGCATTCAGATTTGCTTTCTCCATGAAAACTCTTCCAGTATTTCAACTGGGACATGGCTTGACATTTTGTAAGACCATCTCAGAAGTTACAATCAACATCTCAACCTCAGTCTCATTAGTCCTTGTTTGTGTCAGCCTCAGCCTGCTCTTCTGGTAAAATAATAGCCTGAAGAAGAAAGGAGGAATCCTTTATCTGTCACAGTATGGGAGAAGGGGTGAGGCCCATAAAATCCCCAGAAATTCTCCTTCCCTGATTAAGCGGAATCTACCAAGGAATTGATTGTAGCCATCAAAAAAAGAGTTCTTCTCCTTTCTGCCACCAATTTAGTTGAATGTGCATGTACACATAAACAAACAGGTACAATGTGACAGATCCTATCAACCAGCGATCTCATTTCTGAGTCACTGTCCCTCCCCCACCACGCAGGAAATATGAAAATTATATGAATCCAGATGTTCATTCCAGAATTACTTCTAGTAGCCTCATATCTGATATGATCAATTTGCATAACAAGAGAATGGATAAATATTTCCCCATGGGGACATTGCAAAGCCATTTATATATTCTTAGTAATAAATAAATCAAATCTAAGATCATGGTAACTGTGGGCACAACAGTACAAATTTCTTGTAGCTTTATTCAATTATAGCTATAAAAAAGATATCAAAAAGGATGAAAACAATACAAATTATTGTTGCTTTTGAGTTATGTTGGAGAACCATAAGCAATTTTAATTTTTTCTAAATGTTTTACTGTTATTTTCATAATTAAAATTGAAATGTTTCCTTTCTAAGATTTTTGTCTCCAAACATTTAAAGCAGGTATATGGTTGATCATTTAATTTGTTCTGCTAGAAATAAAATCAATGGAATTATGAGGCCATACTTTGACTTTTGGATAATCTGAGGTTGTGAATACAAACCAAAAGTCACAAACGGTCTTACACTAATTTTGAAGAATGCACCAGACGTTTGGCGTGACTGAAAGGAGATTTCTCTGAGTTTCTCGATGCATTTTGCTTTCTAGCCATGTTGTGATGTACAGTGGAAGATCTATCTCAGGACAGTGTTGGCATTGGCTTCCTTTATTTAAGTGCTGTGTTAAACAATAGTTTTAATTCAGTTAAACATAGCTATTGAGCATTTGCTTTGTGTAAGCCTTCATACTTAGAGCTGCAGAGAATTAAAAAAGAGAAAGAACAAGTTACTGCCTTGGGTAATTATGATGTGGTTCAGGAACAGAGCGAGGTCTGAAGCTAGAAAGCACAGGACACAAGGCTTGATAGTAAATATAAAGAACCTGCTGGAAGGCATCGAGGTGCATCTGTTTGGGGTCAGCATTTCAGATACAGTTAGATCCAGGTACAGAAGTAAGAGTCAGTGAGGACAAAGATGAGGGTGAGAGAAGGGGTCCAAGTATGCACTGTGGGGCCTAACAGAGGTCGTGGTGTCTGGGAAGCAAGGACTCAAGGAGGACAGGGAGAGGAGAACCAGGGCGGCAAGAACAGAGCTGCAGAAAACAGAGCAGGTGACAAGCAGGAAGAAGCCGGGGATCAGTGGGGTGAAGGGGCAGGAACCCCAAGTGCAGGGGAAGGCGAAGGATCCTGGATGCCAGGGAGACGTTTTCCAGGCTTTCACCGTGGGTTTCCTGGAATGCAGTTGAGTGGAGCGGCATGGACAAGAGCCAAATAGAGCGGGTTCCGAAAAGAGCACACAGTAAGGGAGTACGGGAGCTCTCTTCTGCGCCAACTGCTGCAAGATTTGGTGGAAACAAAAACTGGAAGAAAACATGTTAAGTAGAGGAGGACACAACATCAGAGAAGAGGATTTTATTCCACCATTAGTATTCCATGGCATTTATATAGAAATACAAGAACACTTTGTTTTCTGTTTAGCAGCCCATTTTTCACAGCATATTCACATCATCTCCTCAGTTTGACCTCTGCTTTTAAAGCTCAGCACTCTTCCTCCTGCTCTTCCCTTGCCAGATGTCTTCCTAATTTAGTGCTTATGACATGAGAGTACTTTTTACAACAGTGTGCGTGTGTGTGTGTGTGTGTGTGTGTGTGTGTGTGTGTGTGGTACTGGGGATTGAACACAGGGTCTTCATACTGAGCTACATCCCCTATATCCCCAGACCTTTCTGTTTTTCTTTTTTTTTTTTTTTCTATTTGTCTTCTTTTGAGATCGGGTTTCACTAAGTCAATTGCACAGGCTGCACTCCAACTTGCAACTCTCCTGCCTCAGCCTCCCAGTGTGCTAGGATTATAGGCATGCACCATCATGTGTGTTTTCTGTTTTTTTTTTTTTTTTTTTTTTCTATTTGTCTTCTTTTGAGATCGGGTTTCACTAAGTCAATTGCACAGGCTGCACTCCAACTTGCAACTCTCCTGCCTCAGCCTCCCAGTGTGCTAGGATTATAGGCATGCACCATCATGTGTGGACACTTCTTTGGGTACTGGGGACTGAACTTGGGACCTTACACTTGCAAGGCAGGTGGTGGACCCACTGAGCCAAATCACCAAGCCCTGGTCATTTCTTAGAGAAGATAGGTGGTGTTGTGGCTTCTGTATCCTGGAGTGCACAGCCCTTTCTTTTGTCCTCAGTGATAGACAATCCTTGCACTCACAGTCCTCTGCACTTTGAAGTCTGAAGCCCCACTCCACTGTTCACCTTCCTTACCGAAAAACAGCCTGAGGCTGGTCTGACACTTTTTCTTCTGGATGCAAGCTGCACACCCTATTAGAACCTCAAGAAAACCTCTCTGGATCCCAGGATTTGGAAATTTTATGAGGGAACCTCAAACCATGCGTGATCCTCACAAACCACTCTGGGCACCCATTCCTCAGCTCCCACACCTCTCTAGGACAGATGATTCTGGTTTGGTTTCCTTGTTTCTTCTTCCTCCATAGCACCCATCACTCCAATGGAAACAGGCTGCTTGAATCTTGTCGCCACACTTCCTATCTTCTTGCTCGTGGTTTTGACTTCCGCATTTTTTACATCTATCACAAAGTAGTTCCTCCTTTTGCTTTTCCAGATCCCAGTACAATTTTGAGCACTATATGTCATTCATTTCACTTCCTCTCTCAAGTGTTTAAAGGCTCCATTTTGACTTCGATCACTTTTTCTCCATTGTTGAGTGGTGGCTGCAGGTCCCTGTCCTGGCTGGGCTGGAGTGGGGAGGCCTCTGAGCGGTCCAGCCAGTTGGATCTGCTGAGGCCTGAAGTACAGAGACTTCTCCCAGTTGGGGCTCTCTGAGTGTGAGCAGGACAACATTATTCTGTCTCAGCCATGCAGAAATCAAAGGACAAGCTCTTAAAGGGCAACCAGCATCTGTGAGGCCAGACGATACCTTTGCCTCCTAGGGTCACACAAGGTACACTTGTCTCATGGGAACAGAGGTCCACCCAGCCCAGCTGTGCACTGAGCCCCATTCCCCCTGGACCCTCTGTCTCTGACTCCTAGATAGCAGAAGCCAAGCCTCCCAGCACCTGACTATTATCCCAAGTCACTCTCATCTTCTCAAGTCACTGCCACCAGAGAGTCAGGAGGGATTGGGGATATTGGACATGGATGCCAGCTGCTATCTTCCCAGAATCTTCACTTTCTTAGAGTAAGAGATCCATGAACATATTTATGGGATGAAAGGAAGAAGCAAGGAGAGTTCAAGGTTGAGGATGTGCAGGCAGAAACACTAGAGAAAGTTCTTGGGAAGATGGAAGGGGCAGAATTCACAGCATACAGGAAAAGGTATCAGCAGGATGAGTTGTGTGCAGTCAGCTAACAGGGACAGAGTAAAAGTTCAGTGGTTGTGATTTCTGCTATGTTTCTAGGGCAAAAACTACAATGGACTGGCACATCATTACCACTTGAGAACTTAGCAGAAATTTGAGGTCTCGGGTCCCATCACAGGCCCAGTGAATCAGAAACTGTGAGGGAGAACCCAGCAATCTTTGCCCTCACAAATCCACCAGCAGCTTCTGATACACTTAAATTTGTGAACCACCAACATCAGGGTGTGGAAAATCAGATCGATTTGAATATTTTGCACACGATAACACACTTTTATCCAGTGAAGACAGAGATAATGTCACTCCTACCGTAGGACTGAGGAGTTCAATATGGAGCTTGGAGGAAGTGGCAAAATTCTGGAACACCCAGGAGGAAAATGGAAAAATCCTAGGATCATGGCTATAATCCTAGCACTCTGGGAGGCTGAGGCAGGAGAACAGCAAGTTCCACCCCAGCCTGGGCAACTTATCAAGACCCTGTCTCAAAATAAAAACTAAAATCTAGGCTGGGGATGTAGCTCAGAGAAAAGGCCCTGAGTTTAATTCCAAAACCATACAAAAAGGCTAGGATCATATTCTATGGATTTGTATTGTATGCAACTGTATTTTTTAAACTACTTAACAATGATAGCATGAGTGAAGTCTCAAAGAAAAGTAAGGGGCATGTTCAGAATGCATCTCGTTATTGATTTTGTCACTTATGAAGCTGAAATCTACTTCATAAAATTCTACCATAAACTAAAGGATGTTGGCAGAGTTAACTTTTGAAGTCCATTCTCCACACTCTTTTACTGAAGAAACTCAAAACCTCTGCAAGCATCGCTTTTCTTACATAACAGAGAGTAGGAAGCTTCTTCAACTTAAGAGACTCGCCCTGGCTCTCCACGCAGCCCGAGACATGGTTAGGATGAGCTTCCCCATCCCTTGATTCTTATTTCCTTCGTTCTTCCCAGAACTGAGTAAAATCAGTATTTCTCATTCTCTGCTTGATTTCAAACGGAAAAGCCATCGGGGTGAAGCCAGCATGCCTGCCCTTGTCCCTCTGAGGATGCTGGTGGCATCTGGTTCTCAAAGAGCACTGCACTCTAAAAGAAGTATCAGCTCTGCCAAGGGCAGGGCCATGGCCCAGCTCCAGCCCTTCCCTCCAGGGGTTCTAGCAAGTTCTACTGTGTGTCTGCAAGTCTGAGGTGGAGCCATGCCAAGGGAAGCAAGGATGGTCACAATGCAAAGCCACCAGGCAGGTGGAAGGCATCAAAGAAACAGTGGCAGGAGCGAAAGATTCAGGAAAACAGTTATAAATAGGGCCACAGGTATTACAAGAATCTAAGACCAGCTTTGGAGTTATGTTAGAGAACTGTGCACAGCAGCTAACAAGCAGACTCTGCTGGCCAGGGGTATCTCGGTTTCAGTGCAGCCACACCATCCATGAACCGTGGCTCCAGGCCAGTGTGGAGTCAGGGACAAGGCTTTAGGAACGAAGCTGGCTGGGCTTCTGGGGATAAAATCACCCTCCACCCCGTGGGGTTGTCAGAAGGATCCAATGAGCTAGTTCATGTAAGTGCCTTAGAACGTGGGCCAGGTGTTATAAACACCCTGTCGATGGCAGCTATTTTTGCAGAGTGACATTGACCAGCATCCGCTCAAATGAACTAACATTTCCCTCCCAACTGACTCATTTAATGAGAATTAAGACCCTGTTATTTGCCAATACACAAGACCCTACCTGCCGATACAGCACCAGCTCCACACAGCCAGCCTGACCCCGGTGGGTGTTCCTCCTCTGCACCGTGCACAGCCTTCTGATGCACCTTTTCAGTCTCAGCTTTTTATACATTCAACAGAAAAGAGAGCTGGGACAGGCAGGAGAGGGAGACTTCAGAGGGAGCAGTTTGCAGGGGGTGAGACTCACAAAATGGTCTCCCTGGATCCATAAATCTTCCAGGCCTCAGTATTCGATTCTGGCTCTAAACAAATTCATGCTCAAATTAGAGGTGTGTGCATGAAAGCTGGGAAATCGAACAGGTCCTGCAGAGCCAACCCAGTCAGAGAGGCCAAGCTATGCTCATGTTTCTTTTGTTTGTACCGGGGATCAAACTTGGGACCTTGAGCTTGCGAGGCAAGTGGCAGAACCACTGAGCTAAGTCCCCATAAGTCCCCAGCCCGTGCTCACCTTTGTAGTCTGCCAGGCACACGCACTCATAGCCATTAACCAGGTCCCTGCAGGTGGCCGCATTGAGGCAGGGGGTGGAGAGACACTCATTGTACTCCTCCTCACAGTACAGGCCATGGTAACCTGAGGGATGGAGAGAAAAACCTGCAGTCAGAGGGATCCCGGGACATCAGGTGCACAGGCAGGGAAGCACAGACACATGCAGTTTCAGAGCTGGGTCTCTGGGGGGCTGACATGTGGATCTGTGAAAGGCGATGGAGAAAAGGCCTGTTCTTATCACAGGATCCCAAATGTGGAAGAAGCAATTGAGCGCATCACTGTGTCCAGGGGTTCTGTCGTGGGGAAGGGGACCCCCAGGTTGTCACCTGCAGCCTCCTCGGGAGACTGCAGTTTACATCAGCAGGGTGACAAACAGCTCCTCTCAAGGCCCACAGCCACACTTGCAGTCCACATCCATCAGAAAAAAACATATTTAATCAAGGAGAGTGTTATTAAATGAGAAGCATCAATGCATTTCCTTTGCTTCCCAAGAGAAAATGAGCTCAGAAGGCTTAACTGAATCCCTGAAGAAATGTGGGTTTGTTCTGTTGTTTGCTCAAAAGTATGATTTTATAAATGATAACATTTAAAGTTGTACTTAATCATTAAAAGTATGACAGGATTGAAGAAAAAGAAACCAACAGTTGATTTTTTTTTAAAGACAGCTTTTAATCTCCTATTTGCAACACAGGTGTTTATTCTAAAAGAGAAGAAGACAACATTCCTTGAGATTTATTCCTGAGTGTTATGCTATTTTCAACTTTCAAAAACATATGTTGTTGCCAACTTGCAGTGAAACCAGGCCATTTTTGTCTGGCCCAGTCCAAACAATGCAAAACATGTGAGTGCTTTCAAAAATCACCCTGCCTATGTTAGTCCTGAATCCAGATAAGCAGAAAAAAATAAATTCTAGCACACATGGGAATTCTCAGTATGGGGTTTCTCCAGCCTTTCCAACCCTCAAACTCAGAAAGTCCCTCTAGAACACTCTAATGTGTGGAAATGTTCTGTTTCCTGGGCCGTCCTAAAAGTAGGTTAAGCTCATATTTGCATTATGAGCAGAGCACTTCCAAGTATGTTGCCATTTTAGTTATTTCTGAACTGCTTTCCACATTAAGGCAATAATGGTGGCCCCCGTGAGGAGACTTTGACCAGAGACAAACACTGGCCTTCTCAATTCTTCCACCCTAACCCTATTATTTTTTAACTTCAGGGAAATCTGTCCTATTGCTCTCTCAGATTACAGTGGTGCCCCCATTTCTGAATGTCATTCGTTTTATGATTAGGGGGAAAACAGCTGTGCTTGTCTTCATGCAGGACAGATGCAGACAGAAGCATTCTCGAGGTATTTCCATCATTGAGATGAGGCTTCTCAACCAACAATGATTTTGTCCATCAGAGAATATGTTCAGACGTCCCGCACTATAACAAGTAGACGGGTGGGTGGGAGACGTTGCTGTAGATCAGGGTCAGTGAACTACAGCCCACAGGTCAAATCCATCGCAGCCCATTCCTGTAAATAACGTTCTGAAAGACACACCACACCCTTCCACTCATTTATCATCTGCGGTTGCTTCCACTAGCAAACCGAACAGCTGTGCCCAAGACCACATGGCGTGCAAAGGCTAAATATTTACTGTCTGGCCCTTTACGGGACACATTTCTTGATTCCTGATGTAGACTCAGTGAAAGATCTTTCCTTTTGCAAGAGTTTTGGATATGAACTCCTTATCAAAGATACGGTTTGCAGATATGATCTCCCATTCTGCAGGGGCCCTTTAACTGTCGATCATTTCATCCATGCTACAGACTTTTAGACTGATGTAGTGGCCCTTGTCTAGTTTTGCACTTCTCACCTATGTTTTTGAAGTCCTATTCAAGACATCATCGCCAAGACCAATACCTTAAAGGCCTTCCTCCATTTGTTTCTAAGAGTTGTATAGTTTCAGGTCTTTATATCTAAGTATTTTATCCATTTTGAGTTGATTTTTGCATGCAGTATAAGAACATGTAAATGGCCAACCAGTGTATAGAAAAACAAGCAATATCACTAATATCACTAATCATTAGAGAACTGCAAATCAAAATCATGATGAGAAATTACTTCATAACTGTCAGGATAGCCACTGCTATATAACTATATAGTTGTTTCATATTAGATATAGATACAGATATCAAATGTCAGCAAGTATGTGGAAAAAATGGAACTTTGCATGCTGTTGGTGAGAATGTGAAAAGGTACAGCTGCTATGCAAAACAGTATGGAGGAGCTTCAAAAAATTAAAAATAATTTAAATGGTTCAGCAGTGCTACTTCTGGATATTTATCCAAAAGAATTGAAAAACAGATCTCAAAGAACTATTAGATCTCCTGTATTCACTGTAGTGTTATTCATAATAGTCAAGAGATAGAAACAGACTGAGCGTCCATTAACAGGTGAGTAGAGAAAAAAAATTGTGCTATATACATACAGCAGGCTCTTACACCTCAATCCCAGCACTCTGGGAGGCTGAGGCAGGAGGATCCTAAATTAGAGCTCAGCCTGGGAAAATTAGTGATTTAGTAAGGCTGTCTCAAAAACTTTTTATAAAGGGTTGGGGATGTAGCTCAGTGTGAAGGCCGTGGGTTCAATCCCCAGTACCACCCACACACACTCACAGAACCACACACAAACAGAGAAAGAAATCCTCTTCTATCCTAAGTGAAATAAGCCAGTCACAGAAGGTCACATACTGCATGGTCTTACTTATATGAGCTCAAACTCACAGACACAGAAAGTAGAATAGTGGTTGCCAAGGGTAGGAAGGGGGAAATGGAGCATGGCCGTTCAAAGGGGAGAGTTTCGGTTTTGCAAGACACACTGGGTCTCCAGATGTGCTGGCTGCCCTGGACTGTAAATGTCACACACCAGTCTATAATGTACATTTCCTTTTTTTTTGTTTTGTTTTGTTTTTCTTTTTTGAGATGAGACAGGGTCTCACCATGTAGTTGAGACTGACCTGGAACTCACTATGTAGCCCAGGCTGGTCTCAAACTTGCAGCGATCCTCCTGCCTCAGCCTCCCTAGTTCTGGGATTACAGGCATGCACCACCACACCCGGCTTATAATGTACATTTCAAATTTTGTTTGAAAGGTAGATTTCATGCCGCATGTCTCTCACAATTAGTACATGTAGGTATAAAAAGTTAGGCACCTTTTGCTTCCTTTTCCTAATTATAAAAACCTTTTTATAATCTGTGTGAAACACAATCACTTGCACTATCTTTGCAATTGTACCTGCTTTTCCACCAGTTCTTTTATCATTTAAAAGGGTAACATATAACCCTACCTGCATCTTCAACCTCTGACTTGAGGTGTTATTTATAAGAATAAAATTCAAAATTGGGTTACATGAAATCATCCAGAATCATCTCATATTTTGAAAACAGTATTATTGTCCTTGTTTCACTAGCAACATGAAAAGCAAATGAGGAAGCTTACTCTACAGAGATAAATAAGCCAGTGATGTTTTTCTTCCTTGGGGAAAAAGAAAGATAAGGTTTCATCTCCTGAAACAGTTTCTTTGGAGACAGCAACATTTAAATGTCTTTATGGAAATGTCGAGGCACCCTTTCCACTTGGAGCCAAGGAGCCAAAATCAGATTGTTGGAATAAAACTGTGCTCCTTCCCAGTGAGAAGGGCTCCGGGAAAATGAGGCAGCCACCTCCTGCTGATAATTAATTCAAGCAAACAAATTAGCTCAGGGCAGTCTGCCCAGAGTCTGAAAAATTAGTCCAGTCCAAAGAATTTTTGAAAAATTTAAAGCAGAGAGCAGAAAGGTGGGATAAGAGTGGCTCCTTCGGGGCGCTGATCTCCATCTTTGCCCCTGAATAGTCCATTCCAATTCTGTTCTTGAGACTCAAGAGAATACAGCAAGCGCAAGTTGCGAGCAGCTGAGAGCTGTGGTGAGGGCTGCCACGTTGGGGCTGAGCGAGTGAATGATGTTCTTAACTCAGGTCTGAGCAAAGCAAAACCAGACCAGGAGACCCACTGGATGTGTGTCCAACTCAGGAGTTACAGGGAGAGGCTCAAAGACAGTTGGAGAAAACGTCTGAATAGCGTAGAAGAGCACTTTGGGAACAGCTGCCTGGAGTTGGTGCTGAAGTTTTCATCAAAGAGAGGATGCGAAAGGTAGAAAAGAAGACTGAGGCCAGGTGGTCGGGTGGCAGACAAGGAGCCTGATCACCATACTGGACAGGGGTTGGTGAAAGGGAAAAGCACACAGTACATGGACAGCAGGGAGGAAGGAAGACTAGGCGGGCTGGTTAGCAGTCCAAAGGCTCCAAGGAGGGCGTGTGAGCCCTGGCTTTGAAGAGCAATAGGTCAGTGGAGACTCTCAAAATGAAGGCTGTTAATGGGACCTGGCCTGCCCCCTAGAGGCTGTTTTGAAAATAAAGGTGAGAGAGGTCCTTATGGCCCTGATTGGAGGGTCAGACTAGATTTTAGGAAGGACCAGAGATGCTTAACATCTTGGCATGTTCTCGACGATCCTGCACAGAAAAATAATGCCCAGCATCCTGCACAACTGTGGACTGTTGCACTGGACATTCATGTGACTGAAAGCCTGTTAATAACCTTCAAGCCAAGACTCTCACTGCTGAACATGTGTGGCCCAGTTTTGAGATGCACTGCACTCTCCTGCAACATATGCCTGGATAATGGAGAAAATACGGCACCAAAAGTTGCCCTCCATATTGGAAAATCACTTCATAAGAGCAGTAGCTCTAGGAGCACTGAAACCACCAAGAGACAGCACATGTATCAGTAGAAAACAAAAACCACATCAACAGAATATTCTCTGACAATGTTAATGTATTAGTTGGCTATCTCTTCACTGAGATGCACCACCTGACACCCACAACTGAAAGGAGGAGAGGGTGAGTTTGCTCATGACTTCAGACCATGGTCATCTGGCTCCCGGCAAAAACATCATGGCATAAGCTGCTTAGTTCATGGCGGCCAGGAAGTGGAGCAGGGGAAAAGGGCCAGTGGGAGAGACCAGAGAGAGACCCCAAAACCATGCCTCCATGACTCCCCGACATA